GTTTATTATTTTTATAATTTACACCGTTCCTGTATTTTCACATTCCCTTTACATTCAATTTCAATGTAAAATTACATCAGTAACTATTTATCCAGACGTAGGTTAAAGTTGTTTTTATTTTGACGTGTCAAACAGCACAATTCTATAAACGCCTGATCGAGCATTGAAAAGTTGTCCCCTAGGGGAAACTAACACATGCACATAGCTGGCTCAGTTTCGTTTCGTTGTTACTAGTTGTATCACGAGGTCCATGATTCTAAGCTTACTAAAATTCGCGCGTGTTCAGTACATAAATACAAAATATTACTGAATACCGAGAGATCTAAAGACGTATAAAATATGTATAAAATGATAATATAAGCGGTAAGTGTGAAATCAAATTTAAGACTGTACAATTTTAAAGAATTGTTGGTATCCCCAGGTGAGGATGAACTGCGAGCCCGCCGAGTGTAATCACGTGTTCGAAAGTTAAAACGATACTGAAAATGATCATCAGGAAAGCAATCTGGCCTCGCACATTGAGCGATTTCTTTTCTATGAGTTTTATATTAACAATCGTACCAATAATATATTGGTTTGAGCTGTGGGTAGTTTTACCGGCAACATACAAGCATGACTCATTGTCCTACACTTTAAACTTCCTATTTGGAAATTTTATTATGATAAACATCGTCGGGAATTTTACATACACAATATTCTGTGACACGAGCACCAGAAGAGACATTATGCCGATAAGTGCTGCAAACACAAAAGATGGGTGGAGGCTGTGCACTACCTGTGAAACGTTAGCACCCCCGCGCTCGTGGCATTGCCCCACTTGTAATGTATGCATTTTAAAAAGGGACCATCACTGCATCTTCACAGGATGTTGCATCGGTCATTTTAATCATAGATACTTCATTATGCTTCTTTTGTACTTGTTCGTAGCTACAACGTATAGCTTTTATTATAACAATTTCTTTATATGGAGCAGGGTACGCTTCGAATTTCCTATGTCAATTATCAAAATTGTTCTGCCTTTAGCGATATTCGTTTTCGGCTTCGACGGTTCTATCAATCAATTTTATTTACTTCTATACATTGTATCAGTAGTGGGAATGTTGTATACAGGTGTTCTATGCATTTATCATGTCTCTTTAGTGCTTAACGGTAATGTAGCCAATGAGAGTAATAAAAGGATTCGTACGTATGATCTAGGATGGAAACAGAATATAAAGGAAGTGTTCGGTGAAAGATGGTACCTTACGTGGTTACTTCCTTATATAAAATCTCAATTGCCACATAATGGTATTATTTGGACTACGTCAAATTCTTGGCAATGCACGAATCCCAAGAGGAAATAAAGTCTGTACATATTTTTTTATGTTAAACTCATTATTCTTTAGTACACATATTACAAAGCATGTCTTATTAAGTTGACGCAATACATTTAAAAATATGTCTTAAAATGAATTTGAAATCAGACTGTCGTTTACGGATGTTCCCTGACTGGTCACTAACTGATATTTAGTTTCTATTTTTATTGAACAAGATCTAGACATGGAATCATTACGATAGATATGTTCGATGTAATGAAAGTTTCATTATTAAAGTATAGTGACTCCCATTAATATTCGGACGCACTTCAAAATAGAATAATTGTTTTAACACTAGACCTTATAGTTTTAACAATGCGACAATACAAATTTCCCTTTTTTATATTTCTTGCAGAACAATTTCAAAACAGTCATTTCACCGGTGCATCGTAGGTTTAATGTTAATATTCGATCAAACTTCGTTTTAAAAAGTTAACAAATCATTTAATGACATCCGGTTTACGACAGATAAATTGAAGAATTTTTACGTAGCATCTAACTTTTAATAAGCTTTCACCGACTTTTATGAAACTTTATACATGCATATAATTTAGTTATATCTACGAACGGGCTACTTCAAATTTTTCTTCGACACTCTAATAAAAAAGTATAAATATAAAAATCATGTCATTTTCTTTTTTTTTTCGAGACTACCCAACAGAAATTTGTTCAATTTCTGTTACACATACATATAGTAAACTAAGCCTTCTAACATCTTAGAGAAAAGTTGGTTGGCTCAATATGAAAAAAGTTATTCCGTTTTGAAATGTGTTCGAGTCACTGTACATGCATAAGATTGAATTCAGGTTCGACGATTGTCATGTTTATATTAAAAAAAAATTTGTCACTGCAGTATTAATAAATATTAAACGTAACGTAATTGTACATCGATAAGACTAGTTTGAGAACTACTTCTATGTTATACATTATCATTCATTCTACATATTTTCGAGTTTTATGCAATGATGTTAAGACTTCTATCGGATTTTAGATATTTTTTATCCTTAAGCAAATACTATATTGTTAAAAAGTCATGTCACAACCAAAGAAATAATCTCATAAAACAATTATGTCATTGTGTCTTTTCTTCGATCTAATAATCGTAAATATACAACGTTTATAACAAACAAAAATAAATACTATTAGCACGCGATGTAAAATAATTTTAGACTATATAAACTAATAATTGGAATTGTATATCTATCAACATTACATTTTTATAAAAAACAATATGGAACTGAAGTATATACAGTACGTCTGTAAACGTAACTATGCCACCTTTCTTATCAAATTTTTTTATATATATATAATACTAATTAACAGAAATAAAGATCACATTTCGGAATTAAGCTAGCATAAGTTCGTTTCCTGTAAGTTCTTTTTACCGCGAATTTCACGCAGACCAATATAAGTATGATAGCTGACGCGACGTATAATACAACACAAATACTTATGTCAAAGATTGTAAAATCCCAACCGATTTTCTTATTATTTGTATACCTAGTCAATACAAGTCTTTCCTGTCTTATATTCAGTTTGTTACCATTATCCTGCCGTTTGGTTATCGAATCGTGATAATTTATTCCCCTCGAGCTATACTTCGTTTTAAGATAGAGTAAAACATTTTCTTCGTTCCAAGTACCATCCTCGAATCTACAACTTGGACAATGTTCAGTCGCCGGGTATTGAATCTTTTTATGTTGCGGATCCTCTGTATCGTCACCCGACAATCTTGCGTTTACTTCATTGTGAGCCGTCCACAGCCACAAAATACTATCATTAGCGTTAGATACATTGAACATCTTATTCTTCACAGCCATCTGAACGAAATGCTGGGCGCAATCGGCGCATCCGAAGAAGTAACGTATGTAATTGTACATTGCGTCCAATACTTTTCTCGGTTCGTATTCAGCGTCTTTGCTCGAGACAGCGTAATTGACTACTAACGTGTGAAACATGGTCCACAGGCCACACGGATATCCGCGATATTCTTCTTTACTTCCTTTACATCCTATCCATTTCGAAGGTCCGGAATATACCGGCGACATTTCCTCTTCCATCGACTTGACTATTTGACTGAATTCCTCTCCAGTAATACTATCTCTTTTCTTGACAATATCTCTGATCGTTTCTAGAAAAATGTTTCCGTACCTCAGAGGGAAATGTTCGGCTAACACGTTTAAATATTTCTTCAACGCGTTCATCTTGTCGTTGCCGATTGTCTTATGTATCGGGATTTCGTGAGAGATCGAATATCTGAGCGCGTTTTCCAGATCGAGTTGATACAAATGATCAGAAGTTACTTCAGTATTCTCTGGCTTTTCTGTCGCCGGCAATAACTTCGAATTATTAGCGATTGATTTATGAATATCGTTTTCTGTAGAATGAACTTTATCAGTACTTTCCTCGTGAAGTGTCTCGCCTTTCGATAACACGAACTCCTTGATGGTATCATAAACTCCCTCTCTCGTAGGTACTTTTATTTTAAGAAATCTCTGCGTTTCGTTCCGGCCGAAAGCTATCAAGCTTGGAAAATTGGTAACTTTATTCGTCTCACATAGCAATTCATTCTCAGGCAACACTCTCCTTATTTGTATCACCTTAATCTTGTGCATGTCTAATATAACTTCTGCTCCCAAACGTGAATCGGTTCTCTCGAATAGCAGGAAGAAATACTTAATGGTACTCGGTACTGATTTCCAAATATTTGTTGTTTCATAACTTCTACAATATCAGACATTGTCAAACTCATTTGTTATTTACGAGAGTGGATACAAAAGCGAATTAATTCTATACCTGTATGGTGCTATATTAGGCCAGGAAATACCCCTTCCCTCTTGCTGTTCCCTTTCTAACAAGTCTATTAAACTGTGTCTAAGTTTGTCGACAGTGTCATACTTCTCCATAACTAATCCTAATGATGGCAAATGGGCATTCACGGAAAAGTACTTGAGCATCGGGTAATGCATAATTTCGTATTCGCGGCAAATTGGATTATTATCATCGTCCGCACAATCTATTGCAGCAACCACCACAATGTCTTTCCATACTAAAAAGAAAACATGATTCATACCAATTATGTATAAAACATAATAATAATGTATTGAAAATATTTGAACTTGTGACATGTAGTTGATAATATAAGGATAGAGTAAGAACGAAGACACAATGAGAAGTAAACAAGATAAGTCTTGACATAATTTTGAAATGATTAGCAAAACTCGGGCTTACTTACCGTGAACGTCACTGGCGAATTCTTTCCACATTGGCGCGAATCGGAGACAGAATCCACACCAGCTATTATAAAATTCGACTAACCAACCCTTCTTGTCTCCGTATACGGAGGACTTAAAATTAGTAACATTTAAAATGACGACGTTATCACTGGCATTGTACAATCCTTGCGTAGGAATCTGGCTTTGATACGGTTCCTTTAACGTGGCGGCGTCACAATTTAGTGCTATTGTACCGATTAACCATAATTTCAATATCAAACTGACATTGAGCCGATCCATTGTTTTCGTCTTCTCGGCCATCTACACCGTCTACACCTATCTACACTCTACAGCCACTACAGCGGTACAGCCGTCTATATTAGATTACACCAGCTTCTATCCACTTGTGCCAACAACGAAGTCAAGAAGAAATGCACCGACTCCACGTTTTTATGTCAGCACTCTCGATTAGTCTCGATTCGATATGCATATAAACGCAATTTCACGCTTCAACAGGTTTTCATGAGAACACGACGTTCATGTAGCGCGTTTATTCAAATACAAATTGATACACATGCAGAGAGACAGAAACTGATGATACTGATAGGCTTTGCAAATTATTAAACTAAGGAAACACTTTCGTATGGTTTCTATTAATCAAAAAGCGTTCTTTTCTATTACGAAACTTACAATCGCAGTACTTAAACACACTTAAAAAACCAGTGGATTTAATTTGCGAAGAACGAACAAATGACTGATTACAAAAATTCAAAAAGAATGTATAATAGTACTTTACATCGCACGATATACATCGAATGTTAGGTAAATATGCATTTATTTAGAAAAAAACCACTTGTTTATTAGTTGTCTCAATAGGAATTGCCGCTGCTTAGTTCCTGTACAAAATGAAAACGGTAGGATATCACCCTTAGGGGTAAGCAGGAGGTTTTGGGATGGTGGAGGGAATAGGGACGAAGGTATGTACGTTTATTTTATTTGATAACACCTAATTTACGGATATATCATCATTGAACCAAACCAACTGATAAAGAATATGATCGGTATAAACCTTGAAGCACCTTACGCTCTTCCCTACTTAGAAAAGACTTTCTCTTCTTGAATTCATTTTCTGACAACACGTTCGACCAGGTTTCACCCCCAACCACTGGCTTCTTGTCCAGGTCGCGGGGGCCTGACGAGCAACGATTTTCTTACTGTCTTCAGGCTTGCGTTTTAAACGAAGTGTGCTTGCAGTTCTTCTAGGCTTGAGACTTCTCAGCCGGTAAGGAATGCGATTTGGATCATATTCTTTGTCACAAGCGCGAATAAACCTTCGGATCTTCGAAATTCAGAGCAAGACAAACATCTTCAGATAATCTTGTCTTCGACTTTTCAAAACTTTTCATTTTTTCAGAGCGAAACTTCAAACTTCCCTCTATCATCCAATACCTCTTGATTCAAAACCTTATAAACAAACAAACAAGTTAGAGAACTTACTTCTATTTGTAAGTTTATTAATTTTTTTTTGTTTCGTTCGTTTTCTGTGTACGGTACTATGTGATTCGTTTTCTTTCCTTTCTTTTATGCAAAAACAACAATTAGCAACATGTACCACATTTTGTCCTGATTCGTCTTATGTTTTTTACTTTTTTTACCAGTGATATTCAAATTCCATACGGCTGGAATACAACTCTTAAGGAAAAACTAGTAAAGTGTCAAAGGAAAAAAAAAGAAAACTTAATTATATTCCAACCTTCACATCGCGATTATTACAATAGGTAAACCTTATTTTCATAACACGAGGTTTTTCTCTTTTTTTAGGAAGCAATAGTGACAATACGAAAATAAGGTTTTTTTCGCGTCCATTCAAACCTTACTGTTTCATGCAAAGAATATACTACACTCTATTGCACTTTAAAATATCTCATTAATTGATATTGTACAATATGATTTAAATGCCGTATATTAATTGCATATATTTGCAGTATTATGTAAGGTAAGAATAGTGATAAGAATGTAGCGTTCACATTCTTTCTTTTGACCCGGTACAGTATTGTTAGAAGAAATTTGAGGTCAAAGGGTCAAGTCACACAAATGGTCTCCCAAACACCTGGCCTCTCGCATCACACTCGTGTCACTTAATATCGACCTGAAATTCATTAAGCAACAAAAACTATGATTGTTTGACCCATGGTTACGGGTTACACTTAGTTACTACCGTACGATTTATTGGATGCATTCCTTGATGCTCCTGTCTTCCATTCTTGCTAATTTATCTACTTTTTTGTGTCTGAACATCTTTTCATTGAGATTAAATATAAGCGGTCTACGAAAATATGAATCTAAATGAAAAACTGCTGAAATAACTTCCGTATGCACCGGAATTAATGTTACTTTAAATCTGAAGTGCATGCACTTCGCGATTTTCGCGTTACAGCATTTAAAATTTTCAATGTAACTCCCTCTCCTCTTTTTCTTGCGTATCTTCATTCATTTTAAAAATGTACAAATTGTTACTGCATGATTTTACGATATTTCACTGAATTATGTCGTTTACCGGCCATGACATCGCGAATATTTAAATCCCACATTTCCAACAGAATATTTAAACTCACGTTTTTACATTATTGCCTTTTGAAGTCCTGTATAAATGAAGAATGTTTCGTGTGCTACTTGCACGTTAATATATGTGATTAACGTGTGTTCAATGGTTTTAATTTTCTCTAGGAGTACATAGTACTTTAATACTTTCGAAAATCTTAAGTATGAGTTTCTCGGCGAATTATACAATATCAAATCAATGAGCATTCATTATTTGTTGATATTATGTTACTATTTGTTAATATTATTTTATACGAGACACATATCTGTGTAGACAGCTTATATTAGATGGTGAAGGAATAGAAAGAATAGACTTACGTGGTGAGTAAGAGCGTGAACGAGATCTGTCATAACGTGAACGACGGCGACTGTAATACGGGCTAGGTGAACGTCGATAACTTCCTCTGTAACTGCTGCTTTGTAAGGAATGACCACAATTTACCCTTCACAATTCTTATGAATCATGATAAAAAGCATTAAATTGTCCCAAAAGTTTTTCTCGCGATCTCCACCTCATTATTAGGCAACTTGATTTGATTTGAATTGATGTAAACGTACAACCTGGCCGGTTTGTTGTTGATATCATGGTCATCGGTCGTCTTCTAGCTTTCCAAGAGCACATTCCGTTCGAAATAAAGTAAATCTAAGACCTTCCTGTGAATCTTGAAAAATGGAAGGTCAAAAACAAATTTACGACATGCGATGTTGCGATGTTTAAAAAAAAAAAAAAGGAACAGTGCTAAGGATATTGCACATTTTGATTTATATCGTTTATGGGGATCGCATTGTCACTGTTCAAACTGTACACAATTGGTTTAGAAGATTCAAGGCCGGAGATTTTAATCTCGAAGACAAATATTGCAGGCGTTGACTATTCAACACAGATATGGGTCTTATCAAGATTTTAGTTAAGGATGTATTGGCTATACAATCAATCCCAATAGTTTATGTACTTTAGAAACGCATTTTTTAAAAAGAAATCAGACGTCGAAAGAACATTGCTAATAATAAACAAC